ATCGCTTAACCGATCCCCATCCCCACCAGCGTGGGTTGGGTTCCACTGGCCGATTTATCCCCCTGGATTGGGAGATAGGCCGTTCCCTCCAGGTTTCCAGGGGTGTATCTCCAACTGGGGTGGTAATTTAGTGGGGGCCTCGAAAGGGATGAGGATGGGGATGGGAGTCGGTTAAACGATACTACATGTCCGAGCGGCGGAATTCTAGTGGCGGCGCCGGAGGTAACGCCAGAGGGGTCCAGCGCAGATCCCAGAAATCCGCGCGGACCTCCGATGCTTCCACTTCGACTCTGTCGAGAAGGCTACTACCCGATGAGATGTCGATGCTCATTCGATGTATATGCTGATTTCTTCGACTTCTGGCTCCCCCGCTATTGCGCGGGCACAGCTCGCACTGCTGCCTGGCCCAGCTCTGCCCGACGGCTCGGAGTCTCTCCGCGCCAGCTGCCCCGACCACCCTCCCCCGCAAGACCCAGACCCTTCTCCACGAAAGGCGATTATTTTTATGAACGCCTGGATCTGCGTGACAGTCTGCTCCGTCGCACATCCCAGGAGCCCACAGTTACGCAGTTGGCAGCCTCCAGGCATCCCCCAAGTAGCCGCGAGGTCTCGCGTGACGACCGACGCCACTGGAGCTCCCAGGAGCCCACCGAAGTAGCGACAGGTGCACAGTTCGCAGGAAGCAGGAGGGGGAGGAGCAGGAGGAGGTGGAGGGAGAGGAGGAGCAGGAGGAGGAGCAGGAGGAGGAGGAGGAGGAGGAGGAGGAGGAGGAGGAGGAGGGAGGAGGAGAAGAGAAGGAAACCTGCCCGCAAAGCTCTCTAGTCCACAGGAGAACCCAACACCAGAGGGTTCGAAATCGAGAAGGACGCAGAAGGCAGGAGGCGAAGAGGCGAAGGAGGCGGGTGAGGAGGATGGAGACCACAGCGCCCTATTCCGAGCGACAATCCAACACGTGAGGCTTGGAAAAATAGGAGGCACGGGAACGGAACAGACGAGGCTGTCGCGCGACACCTGCACGGGAGGGGGCGAAGGGAGGGGGGCGGCAGGAGGGCGCAGAAGGGCAGGAGGAATCGCGAGGGAGTAGGGAAGAAAGAAGAGAGAGGAGACGGAGGAGGAGGAGGAGGAGGAGGAGGAGGAGGAGCAGGAGGAGAAACAGAATAGGGAAACGAAGGACGCCATGAACATAACAATTCGGAGGTCCGCACGGATTCCTCGCATCGGCGCTGGGGCCCCCCAGCGGCGCCTCCGGCGCCGCCCCTGGCGCGCTCCGCGCGCCAGGGAGGGGTCCAGCAAGGATCCGAGAAATCCGCGCGAAACTACGAGTGCTTATGTTTATGACACTTCTTGTTCAACTAAAACAAAAGGAAGCAAGAAAGGAAGAAGAATCTGCAAGCCCGACAAACAAAGCGGCTGACCTTCCCGATTGGTTCCAAGCTCATGCGGAGGCACGTCTGCCAGAGGAGCTACGGAAGATCGAAGGAGCTCCCCAGCTCCGCTGCTTCTTCCTCCTTCTTCCCTCCCCTCTTCGGCCACCATCTTCTTCCTCCTCGATCCTGCATCCAATGCCGGACGTTCTGGAAAGACTGGTTGTCGGTGACGTCGTAGACGACAATGATGCCATGAGCTCCGCGGTAGTAGCTGCTCGTGATGGTGCGGAAGCGTTCCTGTCACGGAGCGTCTGCATTGAAAAGCGAATCGTAAATCCGATGCGCTTCCATTGGAGGTAACATGGACTCAAAAAAGGATAGGGGTACTGCTGAATTTCCAGCCAGTCCGAATGAGACCTGGAGACATCGAAAAATACCCACATCCATACAGCAGGTTCGTGTCGTGTCGACCTGCGCGTTGGTTCCTGACACCGCCTGGATCGCTCGACCCTGAGCGATCACGCTTTCCGATGGCGCAGTGCGTTCCAACTCGGCCGATCCGAAGTCGCCGGCGACATTCAAGCTTGATCGAACGCAAGCGCCAGGGGGTCGCCGCCGCGTCGACACGACAAGACCCTGCCGTTCGTGCGGAATAAAACGCGGTTCACAGGGCGTGCCCAGATGCCGCTGCTGGAGAATCGGGGATCTTCTGACCCGGGTCAATGCAAACCTGGATCAGGCGAGCCTGGCAGGATCTTGCAAAATCCTGCAAAACCCCGAAGGATCCTGCACCTAAACCCGGGTCAGTGCACCCCGGGCCCAGCAGGATTCTGCAAGATCTGGCGCTCTGGCTGAGACCCGCTTGCATTGGGCCCCGTCCCTGCACGGTTTCCCCCGGGGCCGTAGGCGACCCGAGGAGGAGGAGAAGGAGGAGGAGGAGGAGGACGGAGGAGGAGGAGGCGGAGGAGGAGGAGGAGGAGGAGGAGGAGGAGGAGGGAGGAGGAGGGAGGAGGGAGGAGGAGGAGGAGGAGTGGAGGCGGGGGAGGAAAAGGAGGAGGAGATGGAGGGAGGAGGAGGAGGAGGAGGAGGAGGAAAAGAGGAGGAGGAGGAGGAGGAGGAGGAGGAGGACGAGTGGAGGCGGGGGAGAAAGGAGGAGGAGAGGAGGAGAAGGAGAAGGAGGAGAAGGAGGAGGAGGAGGAGAAGGAGAGGAGGCGGAGGCGGAGGAGGAGGAGGGAGGGAGAGAGAGAGAGGAGGAGGAGAGGAGAGGAGAGGAGAGGAGAGGAGGAGAGGAGAGGAGGGAGAGGAGAGGAGAGGAGAGGAGAGGAGAGAGGAGAGGAGAGAGAGGAGGAGAGGAGAGGAGAGGAGAGGAGAGGAGAGGAGAGGAGAGGAGAGAGAGGAGAGGAGAGGAGAGGAGAGGAAGAGGAGAGGAGAGGGGAGAGGAGAGGAGAGGAGAGGAGAGGAGAGGAGAGGGAGAGGAGAGGAGAGGAGAGGAGAGGAGAGGAGGAGAGGAGAGGAGAGGAGAGAGAGGAGAGGAGAGAGAGGAGAGGAGAGGAGAGGAGAGGGAGGAGAGGGGAGGGGAGGAGGAGGAGGAGGAGGAGGAGGAGGAGGAGGAGGAGGAGGAGGAGGAGAGGGAGAGGGAGGATGGAGGAGGGCGGAGGAGGAGGAAGGAGGAGGAAGGAGGAGGAGGAGGAGGAGGAGGAGAGAGGAGAGGAGGAGGAGGGAGGAGGAGGAGGAGGAGGAGGAGGGAGGAGGCGGAGGAGGAGGAGGAGGAGGAGGAGGAGGACGGGTCGCCTAAGCCCTTCGGAGACACCCTCCAGCTGACCCCTTTTTGCACGGGGCCCCGTCCCTGGAGCCCCAAGGGGAGGCGCAGCTGCAGGGGCTGGCGACGGAGTCCGAGCTGCAGCGCGTGGGACACACACACACACACACCCACACCGCGGCCTCGGGCGAGACGCCGCCGTCACCGCGCCCCTGGAACTGTGGACGCCATGGCGGTGGACACTCTGAAGGCCTCCTGGATGTGGTCGGAGTGGATGGGGTCGGAAGATCGCGCCGCTTCGCCGATGCATCGGCGATGCACCAGCGATGCATCGGCGATGCACCGGCGATGCACCGGCGATGCACCGGCGACGTCGGCGATGCGTCGGCGGCGTCGACGTGAAGCAAATCGTGCTGAACATCGAGCCGCATCGGCGATGCATCAGCGAGGCGGCGCGATCTTCCGACCCCATCTACTCCGACCCCATCTAGGAGGCCTAGACACTCTAACAGTTCTACATCAGGGGCCCGACCACAAGAGACCTTCCACGAGAAGCCCAACCCCGAGACCCCAGGAGGTCCATCGACTTTGGCGCAGGACCGTCACGCTTTCCACGGCAAAGCCGTCGAGACCCAAGAAACCCAGGGCACCCTGGAGGCAAGCAGGGTGTTCTTTGGCACGGGCCCCCACTGCATCATTGAATTTAAAGTGTTTCTAATGCCTTACAACTCTACGAAGCATGACTCGAGCATGCTTTGCCTGTTTGAAACATGGCGTGAACAACTTGAGAACATCTGGACATGGTTTGGCATCACGGCTCCTCTCCATTGACCGTCTTCCACAACCCTGGAGGACATGCACTGTGGAGTTGTTGGCGGCCCGAGCTGGGTCGAATTGGAGACGGATCGGACCACGCTCGGATCGCCGCGGGATCGGATCGGGGGCGGATCGCTTGGGATCGCGGGCTCGGGCCGGGCCTGTGCAGGCCAGCAGAAGGCGACTGGGTCGCGCCGCATCGGATCGGAGCGAGATCGGAGTCGAAGTCTGTGGATCGGACCGCGAGAGGCCGGGAGGCGAGGAAAGCGAGGAGGAGCAGGAGGAGGAGGAGGAGGACTGCACTGCAGCAGCCCACCTGCCCGTCGACAAGCCCGGCTCGGCCTGCGGGGGGTGCGCAGCAGGGGCTTGACCTGGTCGGGGGGCGCGTGCCCTGGCGGCTGGCCGACCATGGGCGGCCAACGCTGACGCTGGTGGCTGGGCAGCGTCAAACACGACCCCGAATCGACGGATCGGACCGGACGGACCGGCGGCACGCAGTCGGAATCCACCAACCCTGTCGGCGCGTGTGACAAGATTTTCCTTGAAGTGTCGTGGTCGTCGTCACGCTCCCCTCCCTTGACGTTTTTCCGTTTGACTCGTCGCCGTCGCCGCCCTCCCTTGACTTTTCTCCGTATGAGTCGTCGTCGTCGTTGTCGTCGTCGCCGCCGCCGCGACATTTGAAACAGGTCGCGACAACGATGGGTATCGATATACATACATACATACATACATACAGACATACATACATACATACATACATACATACGTACGTACGTACGTACGTACGTACGTACATACATACATACATGCATGCATGCATACATACATGCATGCATGCATGCATGCATGCATGCATGCATGAATGCATACATACAAACATACATACATACGTACAGGCATACATACATACATACATACATACATACATACATGCATGCATGCATGCATACATACATACATACATACATACATACACGCATACGTAAATACGTACATACATACATACATACATACATACATACATGCATACATGCATACATGCATACATGCATACATACATACATACATACATACATACATACATACATGCATGCATGCATGCATACACATATACATACATAGATCCATGCATGCATACATACATGCATACATACGTATATACATAAATACATGCATGCATGCATGCATACATACATGCATGCATACACGCATGCATGCATGCATACATGAATGTATACATACGTACATACATACATATATACATACATGCATACATACATACATACATACATACATGCATACATGCATACATGCATGCATACATGCATGCATGCATGCATGCATGCATGCATACATAAATACATACATAGATCCATGCATGCATACATACATGCATACATACGTATATACATACATACATACATGCATGCATGCATGCATGCATGCATGCATACATACATACATACATACATACATACATACATACATACATACATACATACATACATACATGCATGCATGCATGCATGCATGCATGCATACATGCATACATGCATGCATACATGCATGCATACATACATACATACATACATGCATGCATGCATGCATGCATGCATTTAGTAATGGGATGTGTAGGTACCTGTGTGCGTATGCATGAATGCATGTATGCATATATGCATGGATGTATGCGCTATCTTATATGAGCCCTGTTAGCGGCACCATAGCCGTGAAAACATAAGAGTGAGGTGACGGCAATTCCCCTTTGCATCGGTGGCGGTGCCGGTGGGCCTGTACTCAGGACAATGGCCACTCCAAGGAAAGGGCTGACCGAACCCGACAAAAAGCGGGAAGCAAGTTCGGCAGAGATTCTGGAAGAGTCCCCCGATGATTTTTCGCTGCTCCCACGGAATCTTCCGCGCCAGACGAAACCCGAGCACGCTGAGGGCCAGAGCCCTTGCTCGCAGGCATATGATCAAGGCGATGGCCTAAAGCCTGCCGCTCAAACGCTGCGTCATCAGCCTCTCTCGCGCAAGTCGGGAAATCGTCATCACATCGCCAATGGCAATTTCGACTTGGCCTTGTTTTTCCCACTTCGTCTTGGATTTCTTCGACGCGCGGATGCGGATAGTCAGTCCCAGCCGGGCCTTCCCATGGGAGGTCGGTCCCATACGCGGTGACGCATACCCCTGGGATTCCCCATGCATAACCAAGGCGCACCATCTCTCGGCATCTTCTTGCTCAGAGAACGACTTCGCCTTGGTCGCACTCCTGCTCGGCATCCCTGGCACTGATCGGGCAATCGACGAGGCCCGCGAATCACGAGCTGAATGCTTTCGCGCGAAAGCGGTGTCAGGGAACGCACGTACATCCCAATACCTGACATGGTCACTGAAACGCTGTCATCTTGGAAGAAATATTCACCAGAGCCAGTCTGACACCCTGTTCTGGGAGACCAATGTATGCCAAGCCAGGCCAAGTCGAGGTCCCCGTCAATCCTCGATCGGCACAAGTGCCAAAAGTGCACGTGCTTGGCCGAAGGCCGACAATGAGCGTCCAAGAGATCAGAACCGCATCTGTTCGCAGAAGCTTGGAGGGCGAAAGACATATGTTGGCAAGCGCGCGGAATCCCGATGCTTGGACCTCGGCCACATTTTTCTTCATAGACAACGTGCCCATAACAGAGGGCGGGGGAGAGCAGCATTGATTTTTTTGGTTGGCGTTACCCTACCAAGCGTATAGCACCCCAGTATAGAAAACCCTCAACAAAATCTGGAACGCGTGCCATCAGCACTCATGACGTTGGAAGCGGAACGTTCGTGGCGGACTAACGCTATGACGATTCGGCCCTTAGTTTTTCGTTAGTTTTTCCCATATCCAAAGGATGGGTTTCTTGTTATTGTCTGACCGCGCCGGACCTCTACACTTCCCCTCCTCCCTCTCTGCACCAGGCAATGATGATGATTGTGGTGAGAGTATGATGTGAGTATGGTGGTGATGGGGAATGATGGATGAGTATGATGCTGACGAAGATGATGACGAATATATTCACGAAGAAGACGATGATGATGACGATGACAATGACGATGATGATGATGATGATGATGATGATGATGATGATGATGATGATGATGATGATGATGATGATGATGATGATGATGATGATGATGGTGATGATGGTGATGATGGTGCTGGTGGTGACGATGATGATGATGACGACGAACAAATTCTGAGGATGACTCGAGCGGTTTGTTTGTTTCAGCACTCCTCAGGGGGGCTCCAAGGGTGTTGCACGGCCTCCGTTCGCGCCAAACTGGCGGGGATGTCTCGAGCGGTTTGCCTGTTTGCATGCCCAACATCCTGTGCATTCGGAGCAGATTTGGAGGATGTCTCGAGCGAGGCGCTCTCAGTTTCGCCCCCCACGGGGGCTAGATGTTGAGGATGTCTCGATCGGCTTGCCTGTTTTGGTGGCCAGACTCGTGGGCACAGATTCTCCCCCGGATGCCACAGGACGCTCCAGCAGGCTCCAGGAGGCCCAGGAGGCCACATGAGGTCAGGAGGCATCAGGAGGCCACAGGAAGAGCCAAGAGGCCACAGGATGTCCCAAGAGGCTCGAGGAGGCCCCAGGAAGCTCCAGGAGGACTCGGGAAGCCACAGGAGGCCCCAGGAGGCCACAAGAAGCGCCAGGAGGCCCCAGAAGGCAACAGGGGGCCCCGAGAGGCCCCGAGAGCAGGAGGCCTCAGAAGGCAACAGGAGTGGCTCCAATCCCATGTGTTTTACGTATGTACGTATGCTCCTATGGATTGGGCCTCACCTGGAGCACGAATCCTTGATGGTATATTTATGTTTCTATAGATTGTCCTTCCTCTGTGTATACAATCCTGAATGTTTACGTATGTTCCTATAGATTGGGCCTCCTCTGGGGCACGAGTCCTTGGTGTTTTACGTGTGTTCCTATAGATTGCCCTTCTCGTGCGGCTCCAATCCGCGATGTTTTGTATACGCCTCTTCCTACAGATTGGGCCTCCCCTGGGGCACGAATCCTCCCTAGGAGGTCCCAGGACGCTCCACGAGGCCCCAGGGGGCCACGCGAGGCTCCAGGAAGCCTCAGGAGGCCACTCGAAGCCCCAAGAGGCCCCAGGAGGCTCCAACAGGCTCCTGGAGGCCTCAGGAAGCCCCACGAGGTTTCAGGAGGCCCCAGGAGAACCCAGGCTCATGCGCAGAGACGCGCTCGTAGTACTGAGACGCATTCACAATCCAATTCCTTCGCAATTAGATTCATGACCAGACCGTCACAACTCAAGCCCGCTTATATTCGAAAACTCTTGCGCCTAGACACTCACGGCGGACAGGCCCATGCGAATAGATGCACACATGGGGAGCTCCACGCAGTGAATAACTTGAAGTATGGGTTTATGCAGAGGTAGCCCACGGATGCGTCGACAACGGTATGTTTGGCTGCCCTGCCCACCGTCCACACACTTGTGCACGCCTCGATCATTTAGTTCCGTTGTCCTTCGTCCCGGCCGTTCCCCCGACTCCTTCCCTCCAACCCCCTCGCGCACGGCATCCCTCGCCGAAATGGCCGCCTCCTGGGAGACGGGGGCGGGGTTGGGGGGGCCAGACCCGCGGGAGGTCCGGCCGAAGCGGAGGCTGTCTCTGACGCCCGCACCTGAATACGGAGCGACGCATAACATACCGCGCGCGCAGATACTGGCAGCACTTCGCTGCGACACTGATGTAAAAAAATGCAAGATCGAACAATAACTGGTACGAACGATGAGCGCACAAACAACGCAAGAAACTGAACAGGAGAACCGAACAGGACAGTAAACGGAAATTGCCCCGGCAAATGACCCTGGAAAGTTGAACAAGAAACGCAGCGGAAGAAACTGAACAGGAAAGCGCGCAGGAAAAATTCAAAAGGGAATGTGAATGAAATTGAGCAGGAAATTCCACCCAAAAAAAAAACGATAAATACACAGTAAAATAAAAAGGAAAAGAAACGGAAAAATAAGCAGGCAATTGGGCATGATGAGCAAGCAGGGGGTCAAGCGGGCAAAGTAAGCAGCAATTAAACAGGAAAAGTAAGCACGAAATTTAGCAGGAACATTAAGAAGGAAATCAAGCACGGAAATTAAGCAGGAAACTAAGCAGGAAAATAGAACAGGGAATTAAGCACGCAAATGAACCAAGAATTCAGCAAGAAAAATCAGCGTAACATTTAACAGGAAAACCAAGCGGGAAATTAAGCAGGAAATTTGAGCAGGATATTAACCTGGCAAAATAAGCAGGAAATTAAGCACAACAGTTGAGCCCGTGGCCTTTTCTCGAAATTATAATAACCTCTGATGTGCAGGAACACGTTTAATGCCTTCATGCGCCGCTCATACAGGCCCACCGGAGCCGCTAAACTAGCGGAGCTAAACCAATAATCCGCTACCTCTGAAAATCGGTCCGCTCAAAGGCCCCGCCCATTGGTTCGCCAACTTCGGCAAACACAAGGCACGCCGAAATTAGCGGATCAATTATCGGCTCCGATTAGCGGAGTCGAAGCTGGGTATCATGCGCTGGCATATCTAGCGAGACATCCTTCTTCATACCGCTATTTCAAGCCGCTAATTCAAGCGGCAAAAGTTAAAAGAACACTCAAGCAGGACAATGCAGCAGCACATAAGGCAGGAAAACTAAGCAGGAAATTAAGCAGGACAACAAGCAGGAAATTGAACAGGGAAATTCAACAAGCAGCCAAATAAAGCAGGACAACTGAGCAGGAAAATTAAGCAAGAAAATGAAGCAGGAAATTCAGCAGGAACATTGAGCAGGACATAAGCACAGCAAATGAGCAGGAAATCAAGCAGGAAATCCGGCAGGGAAATTGACCAGGAAAGTACACTGGGAAAGGAGAGCAGTAAAATTGACGTTATAACCAAGCGGGAACAATCATGCATACTAAACATGAACTAGATGGGATACATTGAACAAATAATGTGAGCTGGAATGGAAGCAGCGGCGTAGCTCCCGGAGGGAACTCTAGAGCTTGCTTGCGCATGAGAATTGC